AAGCAGCATCCGAAGTGGCAGGGGAAAGCGGTTCTGGTTCAGATAGCGAACCCTGCTAGGGGAAGAGGGAAAGATCTTGAGGAAACACAGGCTGAAATACAGGCAAGCATCAAAAGAATTAATGAAAATTTTGGTCGGACTGGATATGAACCTATCGTGTTCATTGATAGACCAGTTTCTCTTAGTGAAAGAGTTGCATATTACACAATTGCAGAGTGTGTAGTAGTCACAGCTGTGAGAGATGGGATGAATCTTATTCCATACGAGTACATTGTGTGCAGGCAAGGAAACTCTCTATCAGATTCTAATTCAGAACACAGTGGGCCGAAGAAGAGCATGCTCGTAGTATCAGAGTTTATTGGATGTTCCCCTTCACTAAGTGGTGCAATTCGGGTTAACCCATGGAATATTGAATCAACGGCGGAGGCAATGAACGAGGCAATTTCAATGGTTGAACCCGAGAAGCAGTTGCGGCATGAGAAACATTATAGGTATGTTAGTACACATGATGTGGCATACTGGTCGCGAAGTGTTTTCCAAGATATGGAGAGAACTTGCAAAGAACATTTCAGAAGGCGTTGCTGGGGTATTGGTTTGGGCTTCGGCTTCAGGGTTATAGCACTTGATCCTAACTTCAGAAAGCTGACTATTGATCGCATCGTTTCTGCTTACTTGAGATCTAAAAATAGGGCAATTCTGTTGGATTATGATGGCACTGTGATGCCTCAAACATCTATAAATAAGAGCCCGAGTCAAGAGGTCATCTCCCTCATTAATACGCTTTGTGGTGATGTTAAAAACACTGTTTTTGTGGTCAGTGGAAGAGGAAGGGATAGTTTAAGTAAGTGGTTTTCTCCTTGCAAGAAACTAGGAATTGCTGCCGAACATGGTTATTTTGTGAGGTATATTCAATATATATTTGTCCTTTACAGATATCCTTGTTTTCGTTTGGTTTTAATATAAATCTTTTTTGTTAGGTGGTCTGCTGACAAGGACTGGGAAGTTTGCGGGCAGAGCAATGACTTTGGTTGGATACAGATAGCTGAACCAGTTATGAAGCTCTACACAGAAGCCACCGATGGTTCCAGCATTGAAACCAAGGAGAGTGCCTTGGTTTGGCACCATCGAGATGCTGATCCTGGTTTTGGATCCAGCCAGGCTAAAGAGCTACTGGATCATTTAGAAAGTGTGCTAGCAAATGAACCAGTTGCTGTAAAGAGTGGTCAATACATTGTAGAAGTGAAGCCACAGGTGAATGTCTTAACTCTGTCTCAGTTTTTAATTCTCTAGGGTCGGCTACCTAGTCCTATTTATCACAGAAAGAGCTCCAAGTTCCTGCATTACCATTGTTAGAATTCATAGAAGACACAACAGTTATTTCCCTCATCTTTCCTTTTCGTCTCTTTACTGGTCTTTTGCATATCGTAAATCAACTTTCAGAATATGCGTGTAAGACTATGCTTGCGTACATCTTAAGAAAATAGAATGCCTGAAGTGCGATGAGGGTTTGTTTTATATCGTCACGAGAATCGTATCTAAAGATTAAACTGTGAAGTAAGGCAATGCTTAGACATTAGTTCATAAAAGTCTGACTAGCAAAGTTGGAGACTATAGTAAAGTTTGAGACGAGTAGTTTGCTTGCTGATGATAAAAGTATATATCTACATTAAATTGCTTGGGGATTGTTACATGCCAATTGATTTTTCAAAGCGAATATGATGATGTGAATCCTAATTTTTGTTGTGCCTTACAGGGTGTCAGTAAAGGCGTGGTTGCAGAAAAGATCTTCACATCAATGCATCAGACAGGGAAGCAGGCCGATTTTGTACTGTGTGTTGGCGACGATAGATCTGATGAGGATATGTTTGAGATCATTGGTAGTGCTAGGACAAATGGTGTCCTCTCTTCCAATACCAGTGTTTTCGCTTGCACTGTTGGACAGAAGCCCAGTAAAGCCAAGTACTATTTGGATGACCCTGGTGATGTTATTGCAATGCTTACGCTCTTGCAGATGCTTCAGACTCTCCGCCTTCCTCGGATGGTGAACCAGGCTCTGCTTGAAATCTTCCTCGATGACTTTGTTAGATACCAGCGTCTTTTCTTGGAGTCGATGATGATGAAGCACATGATGGGCTTTGATTGAAGAAAGTAATCATTTTTCAGCTTTTCTGGATCTGAATTGTTGGAGGAAAATTTTCATGTTCTTGACCTTCTGACTGATGATTTTCAGGGAGTTCTGGAAAATCGGTAGCTTGGATTTCTTCTGTGATATAATCAATCAATCAATGCAGAGTTTGGATTATAGTGGGTTTACATGGTAGAAAAACACAACTAGACATCAGCTCAAACCGAAGATCTGGTGGAACTGACAATGTTTATTCGTGGAGAACGACTTGGACTGAAAAAGGAAACGGGAAATGGATTGTTGAAAATTGCATCGTATACGCGAAGGTTAACAAGTCTGACTAAGGCGTGCAGGCGACATGCATTCTAGGGACATTAGGTTATGGTAATATATGGTGGGGGAAATGCTATTCAAATCCCCATTTGAAACAGTATACAGGTCTTTCTTCTTCTTTGTTCTGAGTGAATTTTCTTTGGCATTCGTTTGTTGGATCAAGTCCTTGTCTTATTGAATCTGTAAATTATATAGCAACATTTGCAAGAAATGATCACATCTTCGAAGATGCCATCTTTCAGATTACTGATACCTGAGGAGAGTCACTTTGATGGGTTAAAATGCTGAGTCCTTCTATCAATGTATGGTATACATACCGTGTTTTGTCACATCCCGACCCAGGCTCTATCACATCCCGAGCTCAACTTCGCCGTAGCATGATATTGCCCGTTTTGGGCTTTGAAAACGCCCTCACGGTTTTGTTTTTGGGAACTCATGCGAGCATAACTTCCCAGTGGGTCATCCATCCTGGAAATGCTATGGCCCCTTTCTCACTGAACTTTGGAATTTTTACGAAACCCGAAGCCAGTGAACTCCCAAAAGGCCTCATGCTAATTGGAGGTGAGCATGTACATATAAGGTATAGAGGATAGATCTACCCCACTGGACGATGTGGGATCTAACAATCCACCCTCCTTAGATGTCCGACGTCCTCGTCAGCACACTTCCCACCTGAGGTGTGACATGTTACGCGAGCCACATTCACCCGTTAAATTTTCTCTGATTCATCAACACACTTCCAGCCGTTAATTAGCCGTTAAATTAATGCGTTTGGAGGGAAGTCTGGACAGCTTACAACCAAACAGACAGGCTCTCTTGCGGTTCGCATTGAGACCCATATTGCAGGTTTCCAGCAGCTTCATGGTTTTTACAACTCCAGAGCTCGAGTACCAACTGTTATCTCACCAAGTGTGACTTACTTAATGTCGAAGATGCATATGATTATTTGGTCGAGCGGCGTTCAATTTTCATTTGGTCATGCTTATATTTTCTTTGGTCTTTAGATTATTCTTTGATTTATTTAATTCAAAGACTAAAAATAAACAAAGGTATACATAAAGAGAAAATGTATGCGCGGAAATCACTTCTTGTACAAAAATGCCGGATATCGAAGAGGCACGCTGCAAAGTTAGTATGGGAAACAGCAATCGATCTTTGTCGATACATGCTTCGAATGGAACCAAAAGTTTTGGAGTTGCTAGATCAAGACACACAAACAAAACAAATGCTGAAGTGCAGGGGATGTTAAAGTCCCACATCAGTGTGTGCAAAAAAATCAAAGGGGTTTAAATATGATTATCCTACTCTAATTAATACCGAAGCTTTTTGTGATAAAACTCCAGACTTGACGGATTGGATATGTGGTAAAGTTGAGGATAGTATCGGTATCGTTAGAATTGAGCAGACCCGACGATCTAAAAATTCAATAGGAAAAAGGCCCGTGAACCAAATGCTCGGAATTGTAGGGTTGTCCCTCCCCATAACCCTAATAATATGGTACGATGGGAGACCAAAACAAAAATATGACCAATAAACTTTAGAATCTACAGAGGCCTACATACAATATGTTATTCGCACTAGTTTTTACTTCTAACACATATCTTTTAATTTTCTGCTGTCGAATTGAATGATTGAAGATGATCAGTGATCTAAAATTAATAATGATGTGTGAAAGATATAAATGGGCGTGTGAATAACACTTCCAACCATTGATCAGAATAACAACCAAATATCGTAGTCCTTAATATTTACCTTATCCAGATGCATACAATTGTGTACAAATTAAAGCTTGTTTTGAAAGTGCCATACGCCAATGTATATATTAGTACGACTTTTGTTTGGAGTTAATCGTTCATACACATGTGAGCGACTAACAATTTATACAATGCATCAACGGCTTTTAAGTCTTTCGAAATGAGACTCTGAGCAGCTAATAATTAATGCACGGATGAGTGACTGATGATTTACATAAAGAATCAATGACTTACAGTCCTTCACAGTGAGACTGTGAGCCGTTGATGTGTTGCCTAAATGATTTGCACCAACGGCTACTAATGTTTATAGCCCCCCTGGTCGGCTGGTCGTACACAGCCTAGCTTCTCTCTCTCTCTCTCTCTCTCTCTCTCTCTCTCTCTCTCTCACATCCAATAATATGATCCCAATCTAGATCATATCTTCTCTGGGCCACTTTCACATGTAGTTCAGGATGCCATTGCTGCTTGCTCCTGCTCCCCCACTCCCACTTCTAAGTTTTAACATCTATCACACAGCAGAAACTCACATATCCGGCATTCCAGGGCTGTATACCTCTTTTTCTCGTCTCTTTCGTCACGTGATCAGGAAGACAACGAGAAAGAAGTATACAACATGAGATATGCCAGGATTTATCTACTGTACGCCCCAAAAAAACATGACACCCACCAAACAACCTCATTAGTCCATGCAGCTACAACGTTATGTTAGTATTCTCTCTAAATCAAATCAGTCATTGCATTTTAACATTCTTATTGGCTTAAAATACCGATGTATTTTGACGTTCGCATATAACAATACGTAATTGATTAAGATACTAAAAGTAAATTATTCATTCTGCACATTTCTAAGTGAAAATTGAGTCCATGTTATACAGCAAGGAACACAATTGTATTCATAGTATACACCTTTATACTACCACCTACACTACACCTACCACTTTGGCCCCACACCACAACCAACGGCTCTGATGCATTATTTACATTTCCTATCACCATCCGATCTTAAGTTCCCGCCGGAGAAGGGACCGGAGACAAGTAAACCAGGCTCTGCACCACCGTCTTCCCAATCTTAAACCCGGGAACAACCGTGAAACTCACCAACGGCTCCATGTCGACGTCGTCCGCAGTCACTGACTCCATGAACACCTCCGAAAATCTCGACCCTTTCTTCACCTGAAAAATCGAAACTTGCTGCTCAAACGAGAACGCCAAGCAATGCAGAAGCCAAACCCGCATAGCAGCATCTGCAAACGCCGCGAAAAAAGCAGAGTCCGGAACTCCGCCGGAGCTCACGACCTTCCTCATGTTCAAATTTCCAAAAAGCGAGCACTCCATCTTCGCATGAACGAGCTGGAGGTACTTTGCCTTGGTGAACTTGCAAAACGAAGAACTCGGGTTCTGGGTGAGGAAATTTTTTGGGTTTTCGGATACGAGTTTCTTGAATTTCTGGAAAAACAGAAGGTGGGTTTTGTTGCTTGGGGATAAAGAATCACTGGGTAGGCCGAAGTTTGGATTGTTGAATCCTTCGAGCAATGTTTTGGAAACGAAGGATTCGAATGCGAAGCATCGATGGCTTTGTTTTTCGAAAACAGAACCGGGTTCAATGAATCCGACCGCTATGGAGAGATCCCAGTTGGCGGATTCCATTTCCCGGATCATCAATCTCACAAAGCTTTTGATGGATTTCAAAGCCTGCTGCTGGAATTGAACGAAATGCGTCGGATTCAGCTCCGAATGCCGAATGTTGTCGAAAATGGAGAGAGACGAAGAGCCGCTGTCGTTTAGCCTTTTCTCCGAGCACTTGTTGGACAAGACCAAATCTTGAAGCTTTTTCTGGAGGGACGAAATGTCGGAATCCTTCTTTTCGGATTCGGACTCCAGTTTCTTGATTGTAATCTCGTACGTTTTCATCATCGCCTGCTGCTCCTGAATCTCCGCGAGCATCAGAGTGACCTGCGGCGAGAGATCGAGCTCCTTTTTCAAAAAGCTGCGTTTCAACTCCGATATCGATTTCAGCTCGTTCACCACGGACTGGTCGGCCGTCTGAATCGCTTCGTTGTTGTACGGATCCTGCGCCATTTGGAGCTCCGCGTAAGCTGCTTTTATGGAAGTGATTCCGGCGAAGAGCTTGGCCAGAAGCGCTTCCATAACCGCTCTATTCCTGACTCTGAACTCTTCTTCCTTCTTGTCATCCTTCCGCCGGTCGAGATTGTCCTTGAACTTTCCGTTCAACGCAAGGAGGCAAATGCCATTGCTGGAAGCGATTCTGCTCGTGGCGGTGCGGAGGTTGATGACCTTGCTGAAAGTTCTGGATAATCTGCTCTGTTTTGGTCTCATGGCGATGTCCATCTGCAAATGGTGGAAAATCAGAGGACCGGTGAGCAAGGAGAGTTCAAATTGCTGGTTGGAGGCATAAAACTTTGGGTTTGATTTGTGGGGATGAGGGGAATAAAAGGTGTCTGAAAGGGCAGGGATTTAGTGCGGAAAGCAGAGGCGTAAACTTTGACTATAGGATTTTGGGGAGGGCGGAGGAGATGGAGGAGGTCAGGAAAAAGTGGGGGCGTTTTAAAGCGCGGGAAAAGGGAAAAAGTCGACAGTGTAAATACTGTGTATAGTTACTCATAAGTGAGTACACAACAAGTAATGTACATTCAGTTATAAAACTCGTCGAGTCCGGCTATGAAACGCGCGTCTGTTATTTTGTTAAAAGTAAAATATTGTTGATATATATGTTATCGATAACCTGTTGATATTATTGTAGCTTATGAAATGAATTGGCAATACTTTTTTTAAAGAAATGATTTTTGCACTTTCTTTTTTACCTTGTGCATTTCATTTTTTTTATTCTTCCGGTCGAATGAAACGTATAAAAAAGAATAAGAAAACAGAACTACAAAGCAAGCGCAGAAGGTAAATATAGAGCGTTAAAATCACTTTTCTTTTAATGATACTATTATAATATCAATGCAAATTCGTACATTAGATAATTCATATAGAATAATGATTTCCACAATTTCGTTAGTTTCTTTAACGCTCCTTCTCTTATTTTTGTGTTTTAAATCTCTTAATTTAATGTTAAATAAATACAAAATTTTAAAAATGAGAGTGGAAAATATTTTCTTTTAATCCTTTTAATTGAATATTTTGGGTGGGAATTTATAATGGTGGTATACAGAGGTATGATGTGAGTGAGTGATTGATTGCTACCATCTACTCATTGACCCTACCTAGTTGCATCCATAATCGATGGCAGGAGACGAGGAGGAGGATAATTTACCACAGTGTCAAGGCGGTGTTAAGATTTTCAAATAATAGAGTAGTATTATGAATAAAAAAAAAATTTATTGAATCATTTCGTCAAGCATATATCCGTCAATTTTTGCCAATATATGTCGATAACTATTATTATTCGTAGAGATTTGTTGATGGTGCATGCATGATATTGTGGAGTATTAAAGACTATCAATACTTGTCAACTAAGGTATTTCATCGAACACATGATGCGCACAATAGGCTCGCACACAAGAAGAGAAAAAATGAAGATAAATATGATAGAGGAAAATAGAAAAGTAGAAGGAGGTTGTAATTTAGTTTATCTTAGTTGTTTATAGGGGTTAAATACAATACACAAACAAATATATATGTCGTTTTTTAAGTTATTAGACCTAAGAACAAGCAATGATCCCATACTGGTTCTGTCACCGATTAACGACCTTATCAATATTCATATGTATGAATTTGACAGATGCCAAAAAATACATGTATGTACATTGATAATAATACTTCTCTTAATTATCCAACGGATCGGGATAATGTATAATTAGTCTCCATCAATAATTTATTTTAATAATGTAGTTAATGGATGATGATTAGCAGAACAGGGTTTTAGGGTTGATGGGTTAGGGTTGGGACAAGCTTAGAATAAATACACGTTATTGTAATCCTTATGCAATAGTCAATAGAATTGTTTGATGATAGGAAATTAGACCAATGAATTTCATAATTGGGGTTTGGATTGCAATTAGATGGAGCTAATCACACTCTTACTCTATCATTAAGAATTTCTACAGTAAAACAACTCTGCAATTTCAGAAGTTAGCGAAAGCAACACACATGTATACATGAATTTTTTGTGCATGAAGTAAAGAACGGAAGCATGCATTGATATTGTTACATATGTGTTCGATAATATGTCAGTACTATTTGTTCTTGATAATATCAGATCAATACGAATAACATATTTTTGAAAAAGAACGGACGTTAAACTATAGTCGGACTAACTACTATTAATCTAAGAACGAAATTTTGGATAAAAACAACAACTAACCTCATTCTTCGACTCAAGTAAAGCATACTGCATGAACTCAAGATCCATGAACGGCAAGGATAATGGCTGCAACTTAGAACGATTTAACCAAACGAAGCACTTAAAACCGTTGCGCAATTTTGGTTCCAACAACTCTTTCACTTCTTTGGTTCTTCCGCAAAACCCTAGTTGTTAAACTCTCTTTTCTTTGGTTCTTCTGCAAAACCCTAGTTGTTAAACTCTCTTTATGTTAGCGTCTCTCTCCTCTCCAGAGTTCATATACAGGTTAGGTTATTCCTTTGGTGAATATAACCTATTAAAAATAGGCAAAACTAGGAAAAGGAAATAAAATAAACCGGAATCCAATTCACCCAACAAACCAAATTCAACTAGGACCAACTTTTGCAAAAACAGATCGCAAGACAACAAGAAAATTCCATCCTTTTTTCTTGAATTAGGTTGAAAATCTTGACAAATTTTTTTACCGTGGCGCATTTAATATTTTTCTATCCTCTTGTACGGTTTTCTTTACTTCGTAAGGAATATCATACTTCGTCCCAAAAAAAAAAAACAAAATTGTTCCACTTATTCTGAACAAGCATAAGAAATCCCTCATTTAGTTATGTGTTTCTTGAAAATTAGAATGTGCAAATTGCAAGACAAATACAAAATTTGGGTTTTATAAATTAATTTGTTACACAAATTAACAATTTACATTGCATTGTTATATGCTCTTCTTTTCCTCTCTTTTGGTTAAATTGTTTTGGATTAATTTTTGTTTTTTGAAAATTTACTCTAGCGTTTTCCTCTTGAAGTGTGTTATCTACACACCTGTTTTTACTTATCACACATCCTCTCAATTTTTTACCATTGAAATGAGTGAATTTCAGACAATCAAAGAACATAAATAACAAAAAGTGTTAAAAATGGATGAACAATACCATCCTTACTCCTTTGAGCGAGAGATTATTTCATATTCCGGATACACTGAATTTTTTTTCTAGAAGTGAATATTGATAAGATTGTGGGACCATGTGGGAGATAATATTTCAAAAGAGACAGAGCCGAAAGAAGATTGTGACGACATCACAGTCCACTGCATGCAGATTGACTACCCAGTTGTGGACTCCACACTAATTGCTACACCCTGCTTCAATCAATTGATTTTCTTCTAGTACAAGAATCGTAACAAATAAAAAAACATAATTAAGAGTATTATCTCGAACTCAAAGTTTTGTATTCGATTTTTCTTTTTACTAACGTCGAAAGGAATGCTAGCAATTTTTTTTATTTTTTAATTTTATCATTACATTTTATCAATTATTCTTCTTATTCTGCAATATTACATGATGATTTGAAATGTTTTTTTTTTTCTAAGGCGTTATTTAACGATCAACCCTAATACACAAATTTGACAATTTCAATGAAATTGTTGAACGATTTTTAATTTAATTGATTTTCTACATAACTAATCTTTAAATAGTGAACTAGAGTAAATCGTTTCAATTAATGTACAACTTTTTTAGATGAAAAAATAGACCAAAGAAGTTGAAATGAGAAGATCGGTATCATTCCCTCGTAAAAAATGTGTTGGATCTCCCTCTTTCTGTATGGTCAAAACAATAAGGAAAACTTGAAGATAGTACTCACACTGCATGTGACAATGAATGGACCAACATGTTTCAATACAACATGTGATCAATAAACTAGTCCATTTTCAGTATGGGTTTCATTCTTGCTTTAACACTTGAACATGTCCCACTAGAGCTAACATGTGCACTGGATTATTGATCCAAATACTACTCTTTAAGATTAGTATAATTCTTTATTTTGGTCTCTGATAATAAAAATCGATAAAAGTGGTTCTTAAGTTTGTCCATAATCAATTATTTTGGTCATTCTTGAAAAATCTGTCAATATGTTCATTACATTGTCACGTGAACGACCACGCGACCATCAAGGTACTTTTGTCAAACCAACCCTCCACTTAACAAGAACTTTGACGGATCTTTCATAGAGTGACCAAAATAACTTACAGTGTACAAACTCATGAACCAATTCTATCAATTTTCAATGTCAAAAACTAAAATAAGAAGTTATATCAATCTCATAAACCACTTTAACTAAAAATTCTTCGAAGTAACTAAGGTACTCATAAAAGATAGAAAGTGGATAATAGATATGTTTCAAAATTCAAATTAGTGGCCTTCTTGGACATTATTGACAGACAATAGGAGTAGGACAAAAGTTGTCTACATAACCAAAGGTTAATTATATAAAATAAGGCGCATCCCTACACAAAAGTTGCTTGGTCCATAGAAAAAACTACCCACTCTGAAATATGACCCATAACCCAACACATCCATTTGACTTAAAGGAGGATGATAGCTAGTGTGGTGGATTTGCATATTTTATGATAGAAAAATGAACTCTATAAATAGTATTATAATGGCATTTACAAACGTATAATTAGAGTTGGAGAAACTCCTAAACTCGAATGAAACGATAAAGTAATATTCAGAAACACACTTACAAAAACTTCAAATACAAATCTACATGCACAAAAGCAAACAAATCGATCCAGATATACAATGAAAATCATATCCAATCTTTCATAATTACATACACTTTTCCGGGTTTTTAATTGTCGTAGACCCGAGTTTTGTATTAAAATAAATAAGAATGATGGGTTGTGAATGGTCGGGACAACTCAATTCAACGCCTAAAACAAAAATAAGTAAAAGTACTTGGCCTTTTTTTTAACTACATAGACGTTAAGTAGACGTCTTATTTCTCTCTTCTTGTATCATTATATCTGACTAACCAAATCATGGTTGTGAATATTAGATCGTGCATTTCTCATTATCATGGCAATTTTTCTAATTAATTAATAGGATTATACATAATGAACCTTCATTAAGAATAAACCTTGTACTACACTAAAGTTGTAATGTGGTCAATCATGGGACCACGACCTCAACAACTCCCCAAGTTGCCAACACAAGTGGCAAGGAAAACTATTTTCCACGCAATAATATATAATTTCTTGAATTTTGCATGGCAGACCAAATTGCATGTTTCTTGAAATACAACATTATTTTGTTATATATCTAATCTAGCAGTTGGTAATAAATCTATAACATGAACATAATCTTTTCTTTCTTTTTTGGCATGCGACGTTAGTATATCATTACGGTGGATTGAACAGAATTATAACAAATTTTTTAGTTGAATTTGTAATCATCTTTAGCTTCCGGGTGTATTTTTTCTTACCACTCTCAAGTGGTGGTTACTGTCATCACCCTATTTACCAT